CATTGGAAGCTCCACATCTACTAAATGGTTACCATTTCAGGTCAGGAAAATGGGGCAAAGGGATGTATAGGTGCCCTCTTCCCACCTGCCATGGACCTGATCCAAACTGGGCCCTCACACACCTGGGAATCACATTCCAAGCACAGAATTCACAAAGCACATCTGATTGAAAGTCTTCGTGGTGAGTACAACCCAAAGACGTCACACCATGTTAGTTAGGCCCTTGGCCATGAGGCACGTAGCCACTCACCATCTCCTGGCTTAACCCACCTCATAGGGTAGTGGTATGGGTAAAATCGAGGAGAGGAGACCTAATCTTGCCACCCTGAGCTTCCTCTGAGGAAGAATGGGATAGAAACTTTAGACTTTAGGGTGCAGGTAGAAGATATTTGAAAGGCAAAACACGACCATGCACAGGCTCAACAAATGGTTAACAGGCAAGTCCATGAGACGAACAAGACTCTCCTTACCAGATCGCCAAAGTGGTTCATCCCCAGCCGATAGGTGTGGTTCCCCAAAGATGCCTCCAAGTTGTGCTGTTGAATCATCTGTAGATTCTTCTCCCAGATGGTCCTACGGAAGCTCTCTTCGCTCTGCAAGGCAGTCAGAATGAATCCAGCCAGCCAGCCTTGGAAAGAGACTGTCTGGGGCATCAGCTCTGGCACCAGATCATGCTTACCTGTGCAACTTCTGTCTGGAGCAGTGTTCCCTCTAAGCTGAGTTAGTGTGAGCCAGCTCACAGTTCTTTAGCCTCCGGCTCACACATTTTTGTCTCAGCTCAGGAAGGAGGGCTCCAGAGCAAAGTAATTGATGCAGTAGCCAAATGGCTGGCTCACAACTTTAATGTCAGCAGCTCACAAAGTAGAATTTTTGCTCACAAGACTCCACACCTTAGAGGATGCAGTGGTCTGGAGCGGGACATCCAAAGGGATGTCAACCATCCATGGTCATAAACACAAACAGTAGACTGGGTGCCCTAGTTTGGAGAAGGCGATTCGTTTGCTTGAAAGCAATCTAGTTCCAAGCGTTTTGCACAGGCAAAGAGATGCTTTGCCCTTAAAGAAACAAACATAGTTCCCCAAGAAGGGCGTTCTGCACATGCTCGGAACACTCTGCTCAAGGTCACACTCATTCACCTCCAGGTATTCTTTGCCATGGGTGGCCTTCCAGTCTTTCCACGCTGCTTCCAGGCCCAGATCCAGTCCTGCGGAGGACGTCCGTTGGAAGACCAAGAAGGTTGTGGCCACCACCAAGATGCTGACCGGGTGTCTACAAGGGCAGAGTGTTCCCAGAGTGGTCAGGTTAGCTGTTCTGTTTCCCTTCTCCCCCCATATTCCCAGCAACATTTCGCTATCTGCCACTGAACACACAGATTAAGCACAGATTGGCGTTGTGGTCAGAGGGTTGAAGTAGGACCTGGAAGATCCTGTTTCAAATCTCCACTCAGCCATGGAAGCTTGCTAGGTGGTGTTGAGAAGAAGGAGGAGGAGGAGGAGGAGGAGATTGGATTTATACCCCACCCTTCGCTCAGAGTCTCAGAGCGGCTTACAGACTCCTTTCTCTTCCCCTCTCCACAACAGACACCCTGTGAAGTAGGTGAGGCTGAGAGAGCTCTTTCAAGAACAGCTCTGACAGAACTATGGCTTGCCCAAGGTCATCTAGCGGGTGCAAGTGGAGGAGTGGGGAATCAAACCCGGTTCTCCCAGCTTAGAGTCTGTGAACTTAACCACTACACCAAACTGGCACCAAACATACCTCACAGGGTTGTTGTGAGGATAACCCACTGAGGAGACAGTGGGTATAAATGTCTAAAATAAACTAAACCAACGAGGACTAGGTCCACGGGACTAGTAGTCCCCTATGAACTATATTCACCTAATCCGTGGGGATGTCGCAACATCCTTTGGCAAGGAGTTCCACAGGTGAATGGTGCATTTCTTGGAGATGCACTTCCTTGTGTTTATCCTTCATCTCTGACTCAAATCACCCAAGGAAGAAGTTCCCCCACTTTTCTATTGGCTCAACAGTTTACCAATTTCAACAGAAGGCAGACCCTAAACTTGAGTGACCCCACTAAAATTCTGTCTTGCTCTGCTGTGGGAAGTCCTACCTCATCGTCTGGTTGCGACCTTAATGCCCAAGAGGGTTCTCCGCGGCAGGCAATGAAGTGCTCAAAGCCTGCACCAATTTGTCCCTTTATAGGGTAACGTGGTTATTCAGAGGGCTCCCAACCCACATGAGATACAGGGAATCAAACCCAAATGGTTTCATTTCTTGGCAGCAGCGTCAGCTTCTCCGTCAAGTCCAAGTACCTGAAATGATCTCAAAGCCCCTTCCTTGGTTGGTGGACACAAACTCCTCATCAAAACCATGACCACATCCTGACTCACATCAGGTTCACCTGTGAATGTCTTTTGACTCTCAGCACGCCCCTGACCGCATCCTTTGGTGGGAACACTTCTAATACGGTAACAAAATCATGCATTTTAAACCTCCAATTTAGCATTTCTCAAGGTGGGGGTTTTTTTAGATGAATTCCATACAAGAAAAACAGTGCACTAGCCCATCCAAACACAGGTCAAGCAATCAAAACATCAAAGCAGTCAGCCCTCAACAACTACAATGACAAAAATAGGTAGCCAAGCAAAAACTAGAAGGTAGCCAAGCAAAAACTGGTTGAGGATATCAACGGTTCCAACTTGGCTGGAACCCTTCCCATGTCCTGTTGTTTACATCGATTTTGCCCTCTTCCCCCCTGTCCATGAAGGAGATACGTAGCAGTGGAAGTTGGACTCCGGGCTCTTTTTGTAGCAGGAACTCCTTTGCATATTAGGCCACACACCCCCTAATGTAGCCAATCCTCCAAGAGCTTACAAAGCTCTTCTTACAGGGGCTACTGTAAGCTCTTGGTGGATTGGCTATATTAGGGGTGTGTCGCCTAATATGCAAAGGAGTTCCTGCTACAAAAAGAGCCCATTCGCCATCTGATTGTCTTTAATGTTCCACTAATGTTTTAACTGATTTTATCTTGTCTTATCTGTGGTTGTACATAAATAATAATAATGATGATTTTTTTAACCATAATATTTTATTAGACTTTAATTCAGAACATAACAAATAAATACAGGTTCTCAAACAACATTTTAACAATTTTTCATATATATGTCAGTGTGTATACAGACTTCCAATTTGACTTACTCAAATACCGATAGAAGTTTGCTAGCTAATCAATAACAATGAGTACTGTGCTGCACTAATCGCTTTCCAATCAGAAGACTCAAAGGTTAACTTATCCACAATTGGATACCATTTACCAGTTGGGTTCATTAGTTCACATTCATTTTGGTCATTTGTGTTAAAAATGGAAACGGTTTCTAATAAAAAATATTCCCATACTTTAGATAGCCATACATTAATTGTCGGAGGATGTTCGTCTTTCCATTTCTTAGCTATAACATTTAATAATAATGATGATGATGATGAAGATGAAGATGATGATGACAATATCTTTGAAAATGGGGTTGTTCGGAATTATATCCTGTTCAGACAAAAACTGCATCAGTGGTAACCAGGTTGCCACAAAATTATTATAAACTTTCTCAGGTTTTTGAACGCATAGCTACACAATACATTCTCCTCCTGTGTCTCCCCCCACCCCACCCCCAGACATCTGCTGGGCTTTCCATGCTCAGAACCGAATCCCCAGGCGCACGCAGGAGTCAGTTTGGGCGGGGATTATGGTGCGAGGGGGACTCAGCTCCCCCTTTCAGTGTTTTCCCAACTGGAAGTGGTCCTGGAGAGACTCTGGGAAAACCTGCATGTAGCCATTCAAAAGGACACATAGGTTTGCCCAGGGGAGCACACAGCGACAAATGTTCCCGCTAAGTCGTGGAGTCCTGTGAGCAAAAATTCTACTTTGTGAGCTTCTGGCATCAAAGTTGTGAGTGAGCCATTTGTCTACTGCATAAATTGGTTTGTTCTGGAGCCATCCTTCCTGAGCGAAGACAAAAATGTGTGAGCCAGGGGCTAAAAAACTGTGAGCTAGCTCACACTAACTCAGCTTAGAGGGAACGTTGCCAGCAACCCTCTCAGACCCATTTCAGTTCAGGAAAACGGCACAAAGGCGAAGGCTTAAGCCCCTCTCCTTGGATACCACGGTCCAAGTCCGTATCAGGCTTCCCTGAACTGGCCCCACTGGTGGACCTCCTGAGGGCACCTGGTATTCGTGGCCACTGTGTGACTGGATGGGCCATTGGCCTGAACCAACATTGGCTTCTCTTATGTTCTTATGTGTCCTATGTATGATGAAGAGAGACTAGGGCTGCCAAGTTTACTTACCCTTGCCGGCGGGGGAGCCTTGCTGGGCTCCGGGAGCTCTCCCCGGACGTATGCGCGCGCCACCAGCACGTCACAGGAAGTGACATGCTACGTCGCTCACGTTGGGGGCGTGGCCCAGATCATTGGGGGGGAACCATATGGTTTCCCCCCCCCGAC